CATAAGTAAACGGACAAGGTTATATTATTCCTCGGCGTCCCAGGTCCGCAGCACCATGCATAGAAACACATGGCATTCATTTTTCATTCCTTTGTCCATCAGCAGTGTCTGTAGTACCAGAGGCCCTGGCAGCAGATGTGATCCTTTGTGAATGCAGAATCCCTGCTTTTGGTTGCCTGGGCTCTCAGGCAACAGTCTCCACTCCCCGGTTTGTTCCATAGAATGAGAAGATAAGTAACGCGTCCTTCCCTGTGCACTCTGACCCAGCTCTTATCTTCATGAAGATCTTCGTGATGGTTTCAGTTCTGCCTCTCCCCCAGCCCATTAACTGTGTCAAAGTGCTGACTGCAGAGAATGTGACCTGCATTCAGAGAAAACCAAGACCTGTTTTGGGGGTTTCTCCATTTCTCAGCAGTTTTAAATGTCAGGGGAAGTTATCATAGGGGAATATTTCTTCATTTTCTCTGTTCTTCCATTGTACGTCCATTCTTCGTTTGTGGTGTGTAGAATTATGCCATGGCCTCATTCTCCTATTTCAGCCTCACGGTTTCGGTAACTCTGGAGACACGGACTTTTAAAACCTCTGAACTAACGCAGTCTACCTCGCTAAATTAGCAGGAGAAGCTTTGAAACTTGCTTGTGCCGACCACAAAAGACACCATGACTGGAGAAGAAGCAGCACCGTTTCAGATTTGATATTCTCGAAATCGTTCCGCTTTCAAGAAGCAGGCTTCCTGACTTCCTGACAATCAGCTAATTGCCCAACGCTGACGTGCACTGTCCCCAAACAGTGGCTTTCTTTGCAGAACGAAATGCAGAGGTCTTGATGTAGGGTAGGTAAGCTGAATCGAGAAATCTATGGGGCCCTTTTGCAGCAATCTAAAGGTATTGTCATTTGGTTTCTGAAAAAAGCGACAGGCATCGGTGGAAGTTGAAATGTTGTTATTCAAGCTTCAGAGTTAAGCATGAACTGTTAAAATGTGCTGTACTGTATCGCTTTGAAAATGGCGTTTAGTGCACAGCCATTGCATTTGAAATGTTGAAAATGTTCAGGGCCTTGTGATTCAGTGGCGCAGGAGATACATTTTTCAAATTCAACGTGGTCGTGGAGCCATGTTAGCAGCGATGGTCTGAAACTTGGTCCTTGACACAGCTGAGAACTCCAGGACCCTGTTCTCCCACACAGTCCCTCGGGCACAGTCCCATCCCGGATTAGGAGCAGTCCTCCTGTCATCCTGTCTGGAACGTAGCCCCACCGGTCGGCATATCCAGTTTTATCATTTAGCTTTGACAAGCCTTCCATGGTGGTTGGAGGGGTAAAAAAAAATAAAAAATCACTCCCCAAGTTAATGGCTCGTCTCACCTCTTGCCAGCACGTCGGCCATTAAAAATAGTTTTAAAGATCGGCGTGGGCCAGCTGAAACAGATTGCTTTTCGAAATGGATATTCCTTCTCGCTCTGGTTTTTAGTTTAAGAATGCCAGGATTTTTTTAAAAAGACCATTCTGTGGGAGGGATTAATTATTTGGAGATCAAACCATTATCATCATCAGAGGGGTGTTCACTGTCATTTCATAAACTGCTATTTGCTACTGACCACCTTGGGATCACTAGAGTTTCACGTGGGAGGGAAACTTCCCAGCTTTCACTGTCAAAGAAAACTGCTGAAGCCAGCAGCCAGTTAGTCTTGTACAGTGTGACAAACGGGTATGAAGCGTCATTCATCTTGCTTGCTTTTGCCAGTCAATGCTGGAACAAAAAGACAGGCAGTGATTAAAGAAATACCTCATCTTAATGTTATGAAACGGAAATTGCTTGCATATTTGCAAGATTGCTTTGTCTGTATTAATTGGTTTTTTGCAGGCTGATTGTAGTCCCTCGTTTTTGATGTGCAACTGGATGTAACTCTGCTTGCTGTGCCAGGGACCTCAATCGAAACAAGGCTTTGTTTTTCTTCGCCTTCATAGAAGAGACACAAATAAAAAAAAAAAATGAAGACAAATGTTTCAGGTTCTCGCTCCTGTTGCCTGTGTGCTTGTGATGTTTTGGTGCAGCTGTGCACTCAGTCTGAGAAGAGGGCAGACACAGACGCAGGCTGTGTTAGAAATGTAAAGAGCTGGCGTAGAGGTGAGATGAGGCATGAATTTTACTTATGAGGTTTACTCCTGATTAGTGTTCAGTCTCATCAAAAAATTTTTTTTTTCTTTTCATTGTCATTGTATATTATATGTCACAAGGTACATTTTGTTCCCCCAATTTCCAGCTCCTTCTGATTCTTTTTTTTCCCCCCCGATAAGAAAGGAGGTAGAACACACTGCTGTTGCAGATGGCACACGTAGGAATGCTCGAACATGTTAGTGTTCCTTTTCCAAAATGACCCCTGCAACAGAAGGGTAAGATTCTTGGGGTGCCGAACACCTGGGGAGCCGCTTGTGCGCCCTGATGACCGTTCTCCGCAAACGGATTGCGTTGAAAGCCGAGGGGGGACCCCATTCGGCCGGCTGACGGCTTGGGGGACAGATCCCCTGAGCACGACTGAATTAACACCACCGTCTCATGGAGCCGGGAGGCTGGGCCAGGGTGGGCGCACGCACCTGTGTGCGCTCTCCACGCGTGAGACGGCACTGTCCCCCCCCCCGCAACCTCGTTGTTTAAATGTCAACAGCTCGGAGGGGAGAGTTGCGTGAACAACAAGCAGGCCTGCACCCGGAGCTAATTATAGCGGTCAGCACTCACGACCGAGGAGGCTCTCTCCACAGGAAAACAGCTCTGTTGTTCCAGGGCCTCCCAGGCGTCCGTGTCTCTCGTGATCCTTTCCGCAAGGAATCATCCCATGTCTCTTCACAGTCTGTGAGCAGCAACTGTTCAATCCCGGCGTGTGCTGGAAAAGCAGACGGGAGGGTTTCAAATAGTTGGGAGTCTGTGCTTTATATTGGATTTAAAGATGCTTCTCACTTTTTTCCTTTTTCTGTAGTCAGATTTGGCTTGTGGGATTGCATCTGAAGCTCTCTCGCCCGCTCTGGTGCTTTTGTTCTCACAGCTCTCTCTGCTGCGATGTTACACATGCGGTGCCAGGCTTGTTTTCCTCCTTTAAACACGAAGGATGGTGGGTCTTTCCAGGGCGGGGGGTGTGCTGTTATCTGACTCTGTCTGTCTTGGCTTGGTACAATATGTCTGGCTTGCAGTGCCACCACCATGACTGCTGCTATAAAGGTATCTCTCTGGAAAAGCACAACCTCCATGACTGTGAAGTGGCCCTGACTAGTAATCTCCAAAATGTGAATTAATTCTCGGCACCCCCCTCCTCTTTCCCTACCCAAACGGTCGGGATCGAAGCGTTAAATCAGCCGTCTTGTTTGAACTTTAACTGACCAGTTATGAAAATATCACACCCAGTGAAAGATAGCTGCAAGGAAATGAGCACAATGGGATTTTGGATGTGTCTTTCGGGAGCAGTTTTATGACACTCAGTACCTTGTCAGATGGCTTGAAAGTCTCGCGCTGGTTATTTACAGCCGATCTTGCCCCCAGCTGTGAAAAAAGGTTTTGCCCCCGAATCTCATTTTAATTAATGGAAGTTTATTTTGGCAGCTTTTCTGCTTGCATGTCTTCTGTAGTTGATTCTGAGACATTAGCCTGTTCCATTTTTTTTTCTGGGGGTGCCTTGTCTGCTGTCTGTTGTAACCCCCGAGATCTAATAGCTGAGGTGGTTCCATCATGTTTCCCTGTGAAAAATATCCGGAAGAAGTGCTAGCCCTGTCTTATCTTTTGCTCTGCTGTGAAGGGCTTTCAGTCCCATGACTGAAAACTCTCAAACACGAGAATTGAGTTAAATGGTAACCAGGTATAGATTTGCGACTCGTATATTTTGGGCATGTCCAAGAGCATGTGGGAATTTGGGAGGCTTGCTGCATTGCGAATAAGTCTTCTTGGAGGTCCCCAGGCACCTCCACGTGGTGACATGTGAGCCTCTTATACAAACAAAGGGTCCAACCTGTGTGGAGTGATGGAGAGGTTTTCCAGATGTGAGAGGCCCGGGGGTTATTGTCTGTCATCCCGTTTACCCCACTGTGGTGGAAGGGATAGCAGCCCCTTGGAGACCTTGTTGCCGTGTTTACATGACGGAGAAGGGCCCTTCAGCGCTCCCGGCCCACCTGGCACTGCAGGTGTGGCTCGAGCAGCGAGCTGCTTGGAACGCCCAGTTCCAGGTTGGCGGGGTCCACTTGGGAGGGGTGAAAAGGCCATGAAAAATGTCTGTGGGTGGGGGGACAAAAAAGCAAGCTTATAAATGGTTTCAAAAGTCTGGCATTGCTTCGTTTTCATCTGTGCCCCTCGTTCGTTCACTCGTAGGCCTGTTGTGCGTAACTCTGCTGTGCAGTGAAACATGAAAGTTACTCTCATGCTAACCTTGAACTGTCTAGCACTTGTTGTTCTTGATTTGGCTGCTGTAATTTGGTGCTTTGAATGGACAAGGGGCGCGTAGCAGAAAAATCAAGACACTCAGTTTGTTGTCCACTTCAGACTTCAAATGTGCTTCTGGTTATGCTGACCCTGCAGGTTGTTTTACTGTGGTGCTGTAGGCACTAGCTGGCTTTTGCAGGTCTTGTGGTCAGATGGCAGGCTGGATAAAGACTTGTGCAATATCATGACACTGGTTTGAGCAACATTTTTATTTTTTATTTTTGCAGCTCTAGTATCCATCCAGATAAGTGCAGCCTGATATATTTCCAGGCTCAAAGTAAAGTCCTATTCCAAGAGCCTGAAAGGATGGGATCTTTTGAGTCTTGAACAGAGAGGATTATGAGGGGGACCTGATTCAAGATTTCAGAATACTCAAAGACATTGATGAATTCTTCAGCATTGACCACTAAAACATAAACCAGAGGATACAAGTGGAAACTAAAGTGCAAATCACTGCCCTAAAGTGGGTTGTGGAATTTGCCGGTATGAAATGAGTTTTTTTCACATGTGCTAATAGGCCTGTGTTTCGTTTTCTTACAGGTTCACAAAACCGGCCCCCATGTTTCTGGACCGGAACTTCAGGCGGCTGAGCAAAGTTAATAACTACTTACCTCCATTTGGGTTCAAAACGCAAGGTACTACTTTTTATTTCAAGGTACTGGTTTTTATTTTGTGCTAAGTGTAGAGCACAGCGACTGCACACTGCTCACTGGACCGTTTCATACGGCCACTCATCACAGCTGCTTTTAAAAAGCCATTTGCTTTTTAGATGTTTTGATATTCTCAGTGATGACAATATTCCTTATAAATAAGTGTTTCCATATCCCCTGGAAACCACTTTTTCTTTCTTAACACAGTCCCAAAGCATAATTTGGAAAGCATTTTAATCTCTTTCTTTGCATGATCTTACTTGGAACAGGCTTAGTGCTTCTCGCTGTTGGAAAATGGTGAGCACAAATTAATTGTTCTCTTCCATGACCAGAGATCTCCAGACTGGAAGTCTTTTTCCATGTTGAGTTGGGTTTAAATAGTCCCTTTTATCATTTATATGTTTCTGTAGGGTAGGTGTCATGCATTCTTAGAATGGTTTAAGCAATCTGATGTGTGTTCATGCACCCACTGGAAGTGTTTTCTGATGCAGAGAACTTTTATGTTCCCATTAAACACAGGTGAGGGGACTTGGCCAAAAAACATAAAATTGTCTCAGAACTGTTTTTTAAAGCCGAGCTCCGAAGACCATCTGTGAAAAGGAAAGGAGAGATTACACGACTGACAAAGTATTTCTATTGGCTTGGACATTTTTTATGATGATCAGTTGCAGGTAAATTGGTACAAGAAGTAATTTACAGGTCAAGGGTAAGAGGTCCCTTCACTGAACAGAGTTCTTTAATTTTTCAATAAGTCCTTAAACATGATTTAGGGACTCTTCCTCTTGGGGGAGATCCCTGCTTTAGGCTCTCCTTCAAAGTGTACAAAAAATAATTGGGAAATGGAATAATAAACCCAAATCCCCCCCCCAATAAAAAATAGACAAGTGTGAATTCACTGGTGCTTGATTTCCCATACTTAAATTCATATTAGATTTCCTGACGATTTCAAGAACGTTTGGACTGGGTTTTAGTGGGTTTAGGATATGTGTATACTGTTTTAACACTGTTTTACAGATTTCTTTTGTCTTTATTTCTTTAAACAACCAGTCCATGACAAATTGAACGCAAATATTGTGTTGAGAGATAACTGTACCTGGTGTGCCTGCCCTTAAACGAGTGTCTCAGAAGCTGGGTTTTTGTTTTAAAGAAACCTGCGGTCCAGTTCTTCTCCTGTTGATTGCATGAATTTAGCCAGATGTCTGGCTTTGACAGTTTCTTCTGTAAGTCATTGCTCGGGCATGGTGAGCGAGTGCCAGTGACCGAGACCTGCAGAGGGATCCCCTCTCTCGGTGCCTGTCTCTCAGCACACCGGCACATCAATTATCATCAATGTTTTGTATCTTATTACTTATTCCCACTTTACACAGCGAAAAGGCTTAAATCATTTCCAACCCTTAAAGCTGTTGACTTTTTAAAGAAACTTTTGTATTCCATATGCTTAAGAAAAAATCATAAAAACCTAACTTATGCTTAAACATGTTTATTTATTGGTGGAGATGTGTGATAGAATATTAATAGTTCAATATAATCTGTGGTATGGTATTCTTGTAGGGCTTACCAGTAAAAAGCAGTGCACTTCTTTAGCTTTGTTTGTTGAGTCCAGGAATCCCACCTTTAATGGCATGCCTGTGCTCCAGCTGTTCTGTGCTGTGCCTCCGTCTTCCTGCTTGAAAGGAGAAGTAGTCATTTGAAACATTTTCAGAAGAGCCAAGAAGTTAGTCAATATTCAGAGTGTGCCTGATTAATGGACCCCAGGTGTGATCATTTTGAGGTTTTTTTTTTAGTCACGCATTGTTGTGAACATACAGTAGTAGCTTATAGCAACATTACTGTGACGTTACCATTTTTTTACTTTTTGTCCGTGCTGTGTGGATGTATATGACTTATGAAAAGATTGGTCCATACGCTACAGCAACTGGAATCCATAATGGATGCCTTGGGATCATGTTTTGACATGATTCTCACTGATAATGCAGGATGATGGGTATTGTTTTTCGGAGTAGGAAATTGGAAACGGATTCGTTTTTGCGTTTCAGCGTTTTGTTCTACAGCCTGCTCGCAGGGAATAAGAGTTGGCTTTCTATTGGAAAAAATAACGTACTTAATACAAATCTTGTTTGTGACCACAATGTGACCTTTAAAAATCTAGCTTCAAAGACCGCATCAGGGGTAGGTTTCGTGGGCTGGGGGGTGGCCAGTGACAGCCAACAGAGAGATTGAAGCTCAGCAGTCTTCACAGTATACATTGGTAGATTGTTTGCATCATATCCAGTTAGGTAAGAGAGAGAAAATGTAGGTATGTGCATTACATAGCTGTTTATAGTGGCCTTTTCTATTCGTTCCGGGGGTGACAGCTTTATATGGGTGAAATTTTTAAATAGAGCTCTTTGCTGTTTATGTTCCACCTGGCTTCTATTTTATCTGCTGACAGTTAGAGCAGCGAGTTGTTTTTTTTCCCCAACCCGAGACCTGTGACAAGGTGTTATCTGGCCTTGCTGAAAAGAAATTCTTGGCAAAGCGTTTAAGAGCCCCAACAAAAACGACAAACCCAGTTTATTTTTAGGCCGGGCGAGTGATTGTTGCCCCTGTTTGACGTCAGCAGCAGGCCTCCTTCTCCCGCCCTCCAGTGTTCCCTCTGTTTGCCCTGCTTGGCCGTTGGTTTCCCTGCCCTTTTGTTGAAAACCGCATGGGTGACGTCTGCTCTGCGAATGTTTCCAGCCCGAGTATTCTGGCTGAAATCTGCGTGAGACTTTCAAGGCCGTTCCTCGTGAGATTTGATTCTCCTGCAGGTGTGCCTTGGAAGCTGTTGTCCATAAACAGTCCCCAACCAACCAAGACAGAGCTTGCGAAAGCTTGCCCAGAAGCATGGATGAAAATCGCACCATCCCAGTGGGCAAAGTTGGATTAGGCTGTATAAAAGAAACACCCAATGTACTTCTATCACACCTGAACTTGGGAGTGTGAAAACTTAATCAATATACAGTTATTGCCACCATTTAACTTCTTTCACTTGTAGAAGTGTTCATTTTGCAAATTCCAAGTTTTGATTAAAAGTGCTCACTTTAAAAAAAGCATATAGATTTGTCATTCGACACTAGGGGATTGCCATTGGAAGGGGGTGAATACTTTTGTGCTTCGCTGCTGTGCTGGAGCTCAGCTCAGTCCAGCCCTTTTCCCTGATCCAGTTTCATCTTCTACATCACAGAAGGCATCAAGAAGAACTGGATTGCATTCCTCATGCCTGTATTTGGCCATGCACGGCTCCCAGAATGATTCAAGATACCCTAAAAAAAGGTATTCAGCAGCTGTGGGAAATGTGTCCCCACCCCCTTGATTTGTTTATGAATTCCCATAGACTGCTACTGTCTCCCATTACAGATTGCCCATCAAATTCTTATAAGCATGGGGATTGCTTTCAGCCATAGAGTCGGGTTTGTGCTCAGATGTTGTTAACTGGAGATGATGTACCAAGAAAGGCACTATGTTTGTATGAAATGGGACTAGTTTTGAGCAACTGGAATGCTACCTGCCCCATCTATGGTTGGCTGTTTGAAAACTGGAATACTACTACAGCTATAGCAGCAGACATCTTTGCATAGCTGTGGAAAGTACTTGTACATCACTATTAAGTAAATAGCCTGCTGTGATCATTATGCATTGTCCCGACCAACTACTTTCAAATAACCTCCAAATGCTTAATGGATTTTTTGTAAAGTTCATCAGTGCTGTCAACTCCCTTTTTAGAGGGTTTGAAATGGTTCGTTGCTGTAAACCAACAGTGACTAAGCTCTGTGAACCGTCTCGAGAAATTATTCAAGATGTCGAAACCGAATGGGAGCAAAGCCAGTTCCATTCAAAAGACAAAATGGGTGATTTCCCTTAACCCCACGTACATAGACTTCAGAAAATGTAAATACCGCAACTGTTAAAACGTGTTTTTTTTTTTTTTTTTTACATGTTCTGAAGCTGCTTCAGTATTGAAGTGTGCTCACCTGTGATGGGTGTTTGTCTCTTTTCAAGCAGCTTGTTTTCAAAGCCAGCTTGTGGAATGTTGTCCCGTCTGTTTAACACTGCACAGCACCTTCTTGTAACGATACGTCAGTCACCTTCATCATGCAGGCGTTCCAGGGGCCCGGCCCTATGGATGGGGCTGTCTGCAGTGTGCGTCCAGTCCGCGCAGGAGGGGGGGTACATCTCTTAGCAGTTGCGTTAAAGCATCGAAGGCAGTGCTCTGGTGAAATGTTTATTCTGACAATTAAAAATGTACACGTTGCTGGGTTTTTTTTAACTCCCTTCGAGAGGGCCTGTTCATTCATCCGAAAGAGTGAATGAATTTTTCCCATTATGGACTGGGTGCTTGGAGCCATGTCATCAAGAGTGCGCAGCAGCCTGTGAAATCGGAGCCTTGAGCACGTTTTGGCACCAATGCCAGCACCAGCCGGAGCCCCTGCGCCTGGGTTTAGCGACAGGAAGCCACATGCCCTGGAGGCTCTGGCTAGGGTCCTGTGGGATGCAGCTGCGACAGCCAGGCAGGCAGTTAAGTCCTTGCCGTTTCGAAAGAATGAGCTCCAATTCATGCCAAGGCCTTGAGGAGCTTCATTCCAGAGGAGGGCTCTCTTGGGGACTGACTGGGGTGCCCCACCCTTAGAAACAGTAGCCTGGGTTTTCTCTCCTTTGATTTCTCTACGCTTCAGTTGGCTTGAATGAAAGCCTTTCTTTACAAATTACCATCGGGCCTGATTAAAGTAAGTCAGTCTGTTTGCATTTGTACAATTAGCTTGTATTTGCATTGTGGTACTATGTGATGCTGTTTCCCCTTTTCTCACTCCCTCTACATGCTGTATACTGTATATTCTGCCACCATCTCTACCAGTGTTATTCAGTGATTGATTTGTTTTGATTCCATTGATGTATAGCTGGTTCCTGCTATATTTATTGGATTTTTTTTCTGTCTGAAGAAGCTGGTGCCATGGATGAAATAGGTTTTTATCTTGAGTATTAAATTAGTTCATTCTTAATTGCAGTACCACCTGCTGAAATGAATGAGCGTTATAATATAGTACTTTGTTAACACTGGTTGAGACGGACGTTGCACACAGGTCTACTACAGAATGTGGTTGTAATTTAAGCCTAGAGACATGAATGTTCACTCCTTTATGCATTTTTGACAAGTATTTTTATTTTTTAAGATGCATAAGTTACATATTAATTTTATGTTCCAGGACATGTAAATTGTCTGTTCTGTGTTTTATCTGAGACTTTTTGAAAAAGAAAAACACAGGATTACTGCTTTATGGATATAACCCGCAAAGTTAGAAAATAATCCTGTATTTTTACACAATACTGGAAAATTACTGCGGTATGTTAGTCGTTCACCTTTGAGCAACCAGTTTCAGGGCTTTCACCATCCTGACTGATAGCAGAGGGTTTTTGTTGTACAAAGTAGTACATCTTGAGCACCTTGTCTGAAGACCAAAGGCCCTTTTCATTATAATATACACCCAAGATCTTCTCTGAGATTAACCAGAAAATTAAAAAAACAACAGAGTCGAGGGAAGGCGAACAGAGTGTCCCACACCAAAGCTTTTGACTCCTCGGAATTGTAAAAAATATACTAGTAGCCACTGTACCGCATCTTAAATGAATGCTCTAGCAAGTCAGTGACATAACCAAAATTCTCAGAGGGCGAGAGAATGCATGCTTTATCTGGAGAATGTGCTTGTTTAAAAATGCCATTCTTAACTGAGTGTTTCTTTATGGACTCTTTCCGAAGCACACTTAGCGGAATTTATTCCTCCTGCTCGCGGTGGGCCCAGGACTAGCTCACAGAAAGACGTCTTGTGCCTGGCAAGCAACTGGAAACCCTAAGCGATGGATGTTCTTGAAATATGAAAGGGGTTATCTGCGTCCAGCGATTTGTAACATTGTTCGTTTCTTTTAAGGATCTTCATTTCTCTCTTCTTTCCACAGAAAAAATTATCGACGCTATCTTGTCAGCAACGAAGCATTATGGGCTGGGTCCAGAGCTGGACAGGTAGGTGCGCCTGTCACTGAGTGAGAGTGCGCGACTCCCGTGGGAAGTCCTCTGGGAAAGAGCAACCCTTTGCAAGGTGCCAGGCCAGGAGCCCCGCTTTAGAACTGCACGGTTCTCCTCTTCCCTGCCACAGTCTGTGTTCACTGCCTGGCTGCTTCGATTGAGAGGGACCTGTACTTCTTTACGAATGACCCAGACATGATGCGCAAACAGGATCGCAAAGGACAGGGAAGGTGTGCTGGGGGAAACGCTGACCCGTTCGGTTGAAGAAGTGCGCCCTGCACTGGCACTGGATGCACTTAGAAGCTCCAGGTGGTGACAGTCCATGCTCATCCCAGCGGCGGAAAGCCAGACACAAGCCAGTGCAGAAACGCTGTGGCAGCTGATGTCGTTTCCAGTATAGCGCTCTCTGCTCTTGCGAGACCTTGACGTCATTCATCACTCGATACCCCGCAAGACCTTTTGCAGGTCTCTCACATCTTTGGAAGGGGAGCAGATTTGGTGCGACTCTGATCCCCATCTCTTGAGTTTTAAGTACGGGTGCAGTGGCGAATCTAAAATTCCCCGCTACTTGTGCAGAGAAAGATTCCCGCGGAGATGAAGCAGCGTGACCATCTCCTGCCTCTCCACGCTCTCGCGCCCTCTGAATGAGTCACCGTCGGTCACATCCCGCTTTGTTGAAATAATATCTCCAACGCGTCTCGGCGAGGGGTGTTTACTGCGCAGAGAGAGTCAGAGAGCCCTTGGAGCCCACTTCAGGGCTCCAGCATCAAAAGGGGCTCGAATATGTCGAGCCTCTTACGGGTCTTACCGCCTGTGCGGTCTTTGATTGCTTAAACAGGGGGACAAGCTGAAGTGTTTATCGTAAGAAACACACTGCATTTAACCCGGAAATTCCAGAACCGTGCTGAGCAAATACCTCCAAACCACAACAGTGAATCCATCACTCGCACACACCTTCATGTCTCTCCTTGTTTTTTTTTGTTTTTTATTTTTTTAATTTCTTGGCCAAGTAGTCTGGTGTTCAGTGCATGATCCATGGTGTCAGAATTGGCTTCTGAAAGCTGAGTTTCCTTCCTAAGGTTAATGCATTTCCGCAGGCCTACTTTCAGTTGGCTCGGTGTTTGTCACAACACAAAAACAGTGGACAGTCTGCTGGTGGTGGAGTCGTGGCACTAAGTGTTAGGTCTGTACCTACAATGCAGTTCCTGGAAACGAACCGATTCAACTTGCAGAATTACAGTGGATGTTTTTGTGGCAGGCAGTAAGCACCTACGTATTTTATTCCATCATGTACTGTGCTGAAGTGGTGTTTTGTGATGGACGACATTTTTAATAGAAAACATTTTCAACCATTTTTACTCAAAATTATAAAGTTCAAATCTGAGAAAAACTGTAACAGGGCCATTGATCATTGTATCATAACATTTCATATAGTAACGCTAACTTAGCTCTCCTTATCAGTATTGATGTCCTATACATTTTATTAGCTTTACAGCATTCTGCAGGTCACAGTTTAGTGGTTAAGTGGTGTTCCCGAGAGATGTCACTCTTAAGGGCGCAACACACAGCATTTTATCCCGGAGCCCCAGCCCTAGGAAGTAACCCCTCCTTTTTCTCTGAACTGTGTACGGCAAAAGAAAAGACATTTACTGGTTTAGCTGGTAAGGAATCCTGAGTGTAGCATCCTAAGAGTGATGTCAGGGAAACGTTTGACCTTGGTATAGGCTACTGGAGTGAACCTTCTCTAGGCCTGGGGGATTTTTATATTAATCATTAAAATGATAGAGCTGCACAACATGATAAGACCAGCAAGCAACATAGGATATTGATACTAATGAGGAAAAGACATGATTTAGGGTGAGTATTTGAGGTCTTACGACGCCAAGTCACAGGGCCCTGTCATGGCATGTTTCCTTATTTCCCATGTTGTCCTGGTCAAAGAATATTCACTCAGAACCAGTCTTACAGCCTTTCGGCCTTTAACCTTGGGATAACATTTCTTCGTGCAGTGCTAGGTCCCCTCTCTCCCTTCATTTTGTATAAAAAAGCATTCAGACCTGCTGTTCTCAGTCTGTTGGAAACATCTTCACTTTGTCAGGCAGTTTCCATATTTGTTTGGAGATTAATGTGGGAATTCAGTGGTGAGATGACTTCACTGTGAACGGACATCCCCGGCCTCCTGCTGAACATTGTCGTCATCCTCGGGCTCCTCCAGGGGCTGTGGAGGGGGGCAGGATCTATGTCCCTCCATTTCTTAGTCACCCGGGCCCAAGGCGAATAAAAAGGCTGCTTTTATCGTCTCTGCATGTGTGAAGACAAGAGGAATTCAAAGACACCCAGTTCAGATCTGGCTTCAAAGCCCTTAAGCTCTGTGTGTGTGATGTCCCTTAAGAGGTTAAGGGACAGGATCAGTCAGTTCATGCTTGAATACAAAGGTTGTGGCACTGGTGGGGAAAAAAAAATTCCCTCTCCCATCCTCTAGTTATTGCTGTAACATTATTGTTGTCTTGTTTCCGCTCGGGATTATTTCATTGGTCCCGATATTTTCAGAAGATTGGTGTCCCGTGTGTCTGAAATCTTGTCTTGTACTGTAAATACACATCGCAGCCTTTCTTCTTGTTTGGGGCGCAGTGCATTACTCCACAGCACCTGCAGGGGGATTTTATACGACTGATTGTGGCAATGCCTGTCTGTCAACAAAAAGACAACGTTTGGTGGAACCTGCACATCGAGTGGCAGATCAGATGGTCACATTTGTATGATGGGTGATGCAGATGAAGGATAAAATAATTGCTTCATTAGTATTCGTTCAATGCCTTTTGAGCCCTTTCTAACCTGGATTTCACTCGAGAGTGAACGCTTACTATTAATACCTTTATTATTTTATGCTTTGATGGTAGCAGGTCCTCTCCTGTATGCTGCTTTGCTAACATGAAGACATTTTGTGATACAGTTAATACATTGTATTCTGCAGTAAAAAGAATGATATCGTTCAAGGACAGCTAAACAGACTCTGTAGAATGGGTTTATGGTGGTGTGGCCTGTACATACTTCATGTGCTAATCGGTTTGTTTATATTTCCCTCTTCTTTAACAGTTTGAGCTGTAAAAGATGCATCATTGTTGGGAACGGAGGGATCCTTGCCAACAAGTCCCTGGGCTCCCGGATCGATGAGTACGACGTCGTTGTGAGGTGCGTGTGGGCCAGGCGCCGTCCGGATTGAAAACTTTTCTAATCGTCCACGTACTCGTGTTTAGCACAGAGAGAGCCGTTTAGTCTCCAAAAAAAAAAATCTGCAAGCGGGGGGTAGTTGGACTAATGGTTCTGCGAGCTGCTTTAATGAAAGTCACAAGTAAATGTGCTCAGAGGCAAATTTTCACAGTGTAACGCAGAAAATCAAAAGCCTGAAATCAAGACGTTCCAGACCACACACTTTCTTCACCCAAGTGGTGTTTTACCCCATCTGCCGAAAGACATTGTGAATAAAAATAACCTGTGGTGAGACAGAAGAAAGACAAACTATGTCCTTAATGATGCAGAGAAAACCCTATATAAGCAAAAAGCCGTAACTGAATTAGTGTTTGACAGAATAATTTGTAACGTACTCTCCTTAATTATGCACTGTCGCATATTGAATTACAGCTTCTTTGAAAGAAAGGTTCTAGATCTAAAACTGTTAGGGTAGCAGTAAGAGTTAATGCCCTGATCTGCGTGAGTGTTTAATGGCCGGGGGAGACCGATGGAGGAGTGCATGTGCCCCCTGATGCTTGGATTAAGAAGCGATTGGACAGGCAGCCTGGCGGGGCTCTGTCCAGGTGGGCTGAGTGGCACGCTTATCCAAGCATGTGCGGCTCTTCTCAACTGGAAGGACATGTTATTATGTGTGACCGGCTTGCCCCCGGTGCACTGAAGGGCTGTTCCTCTGGGAAAACCTCCTTTATGCCCCCGGCCCTCTGACATAGATCTCCCCAGCCCGTCTAAGGGACGTGATCTCAGGGGTGCCCCAGCCTTAACCCCGAGACCACTGGAACTAACAGACTCCTGCAGCTGCTTCGTGATGCAGGGTAGACGAAGAGGGATCTGAGAGGTGTGACAGCACTGAGGATGTCCGTTATCCCTAGGAGCTTAATTTGTAACAACACAGGAGATATCTTCTGTGCATATCATCATTCCTGTCAAAGCACCCCGCTTTTTTAAATTTTTTTTTTGTCTGTTCAGTTCCATGTAGGGACAGAAGGCTTTACAGACATGCTAGGCTGTGCATCCCAACATCATGTTCAAAACCGATTGACACCGCAAGTGTGCGGCAGGGTGTGATGATAATTCTTTACCCTGATGACTGAAACGCTGACGGCGATGGAGCTAAAAGATGATTTCCAGAGGAAGCGGTTTGGAGAAGTATGACCAATATGGTTAACCACAATATGTGATGTGCTCTGAAAAGCCTGCCTTAGTGACCACTGTAATCTTTGGTGATGGACAAGGCTTATTCCTTTCCTTTCAGAAATGTGTCATGGTTGTATTCATCTCTTTGTTCTCTTAATGGGAGACCAGAATTCTCCTGAGAGCTGAAGTCATGTTGTGGCCAGCGATTCTGTCAGAATGATCATCAAAAGTCCAAATAGATGTCCATGTGTGAACAGCACAGTGATTTTAGAGTAAGGCGATGACAGCACAACTTCGATCAGAGAGACCTACAGCTTTCCGAGAACTGCTGTGGGTGCAGAATTTGTTCTGCAGTCGTGTTCTTCAACACTTTCAGACCACAGACGGCGAACACGCTGTTAGCTTTCCAATCTGGGTTTGTTGATTTTATTGTTCTTCTCGTATAGCATACGAAAAGTACGGATTTTACCCACCGGTTAACTGCGTGAATTTCGCTGCCCTTTCCCAGCGGGGAATGATGCTGCGGCGAAACATACGTTTTTTTGCGCCGCGACTGTTGTTAAAAAGCATGAAGAACTCCCTGTGACCTGCCTGCTGTTTGCAATGAAAACGGATTTGTGAAGCGGTGACGGTGACTCTGTTCTCCTGCAGCCTGCTCTCTTCTCGTTTCTCGATTCCGGCCCCAGCTCAGTGGGCCCCTGTGCTGGACGGTGCTGACAGCACTTGTTCTTGATCCTGCTGGGTTGGTACATGCCTCCCGCTCCTCTTCTCATGTCCAAGTCTGATGGTCACACTCATCCGCTAAAAAGACTTGCCGCCTCGTCACAGATGCCTTTTTTTTACTGTCGGGTTTTTTTTAACATCACTAGGCTATGAAAAACGAGCCGTTGCCCTTTCTTGAAATCCCGCAGCTCCAGTGCTGGGCTCCGTACTGGACTGGGCTTTCTGAGTGTGTCTTTATCTAGTGCAAAGTTAGTTGTATTTTCTGATCTTACATGAACCAAAGCTGCAAAAATAATCTGACAGAAATGGAAACAAGAACTTTCTTGTTTGATTTGTCTGTGTAAATAGCAGGTGTTTACCTCATTCCATGTGGAGTGACTAAATATCTCTTAATAGCATTTATTGCCAGGGACTTTTTCCCTATAATTCATAAGTTCCCTGTAAGTTCCTAGCGTATGACTTGACTGCAAGAATGTAATTATTAATTTGTACTCAATTCTTGCAGGAGTTAACTGTTGCTATGATCTGAACTTTTAATGTTTATTGGTGCTTTTCCCCCTGCTATCCACTTGATTATGTGTGCTATTTTAAAATATTTTACTTCCCCACTCAATCTAAAAATGGGACTTGTGTTTACGGTTTCCAAGTATCCTTGGAAAATATACAAGAAGGGGTCTGAAAGATCCAAGATCGACAGACCCCAAAAAAGTTAGTCAGTGTTTCGTTTGCAGACACTGGGCGCTGAAATTATTCCGCTGTAACAGGCAAGTTACTTAACCTGACACCTCGCGGAAAATATGATCAAAACATTTTAGCGCATTGCAACAGTGGTTATTTTTGGATAGCTGGAAAGTACCATTTTTAATTGGGGTTTTGGAAGCAGATCTCATCTTTGCAAACCGCAGAAACGTTTTCCGCTGGGTTTCCCAGGGCCTGCGTGCTGGGCACGAGGAGGTGAGGTGGACGCCCAGCCACGAGTCAGGTGGCGTCCTCGTGCGGATCTTGGTGGGCGTGGGACCCAGCGGCGCGGTGGGGGGGGGGTGATGATTCAGCCCCTCCTCTGCCTGCACGGACAGGGGGGGTGGGTAGATGAGTATGGCACGCGCCGGGCGCTGATGGCGATGCCCTCTCCTCGCAGGCTGAACGAGGCCCCCGTGGCTGGTTACATGCGGGACGTGGGCTCCAAGACCACCCTCCGTATCACCTACCCCGAGGGGGCCATCCAGAAGCCGGAGCGCTACGAGAAGGACTCCCTCTTCGTGCTCTCTGCTTTCAAACCCCTGGACTTCAAGTGGCTCAGGCAGATGGTCTTCAGAGAGAGGCTGGTAAGTGCCCTACAGCGGGCCTGACGGGGGCGGCAGGGTGGTGATGAAGCCCTCTTCTGCCTGCATGGGGTGTTAGTTGAGTATGCTCATCTGCAGCCTGGAACCAGCCTGCGGGGACACCAGAACATCATAACATCGCTTTATTAGCCCTATTTCTTGCATTAGGAGTTAGTCTTTTCACATACCCCAGCTTGATCTCCATGAGACACAGACACACAGACAGGGAGAGAGAAGCTTGGGGTCAGAGTGCAGGGTCAGACATTGTACGGCGCCCCTGGAGCAGTTGGGGGTTAAGGGCCTTGCTCAGGGGCAGCAGGATTTCTCTGCCGGCTGCGGGATTTGAACCGGCAACCTTCCAGCCACAGGCGCAGATCCTCGGCCACAGAGCCACCTCTCCGCCCCGCTCCAGTACTTCCTGTGAACATGTCACAGGAAGTACTGGAGCACAGCTGGAACATTCATCGCGTCCTGCATGAGGAGCTTTTGGATGTCCTCAAGCAGGACACCACGTCTCATGTCGTAACTAATGAGACACCGAGGCAACAGAAACTGCATGGCTGCTCCCAGCAATGGGCTTCTTTAGCTTTGATTTGGAAGGGCTCCTCTGCAGCTTCAGAGCCATGTCACTTTGCGCAGTGTTTGTTAAAGAGGAGAAAATCCCATTTTCCACAAGTGAGACAAGTGGGGGCAAGTTTACCATGTTTACTACAGTTAGTCTAGAGTAGAGAAGGAAATTCATCACGGAAGACCTTTTATTGGGAAAATGCCAAAGCTGTTTGTTGTAATATATATTTTAAAGTACATTCACGAAGGTTTATACCATGATTCTCTTACATTTTAAAACAGTTTCATGAGATGTTGAAAATGTTAAACCACTCCGGTTTCTGAAAGTAGGCCTCACTTGTAGTAGCAAAGTTGTGGGGAATTACCAGGAATGAAAGGCTTTATTAATGGGTTTTTCCAGCTCAAGCTTCTTTCCCCATTTTTTTAAAACTGTGTTGCTTTTGTGTCTGAGGAGCGCCGTAACAAGTCTTTCAATGTGGCGGAAGGCTTCTAAATTGGCAAGTTGCTCTGACTGAATATCTGCCCTTATCTCCCTTCCTAAAGCAGAAGGATGTGGAAAATTAATGAAGCTCTGCTTTAGTTAGGTTATCAAAAAGGAAGAAGGCAAATGAAGAAAAGCACTTGGTCACACTCGAGTGCTTTGATGCTTCACAGCTGCCTTTGGGGAGTAAAGCTGCAGTCCTCTGTGGCATTAAGATCAAGGACAGGGGGCTGAGTCTGTGCTGCTGTGCTACATTGTGCCAGCAGCCATATCACTCTGCAGCTCCCAGCTGGCAGCCCACTGAAGCCCAGCAGGTGTGAGCCTGGTCAGTACCTGGATGGGAGACCTCCTGGGAAAAACTAAGGTTGCTGCTGGAAGAGGTGTTAGTGGGGCCAGCAGGGGGCGCTCACCCTGCGGTCCATGTGGGTCCTAATGCCCCAGTACGGTGACGGGGTCACTATACTGTTAACAGGCGCCGTCCTTTGGATGAGATGTAAAACCAAGGTCCTGACTGCTCTTCAGACTGTTTATTTTCTCGCACCTCTGACCATTATATCGGCACTTCTCTGCGCGGTCCCTTCCAGTGTGGCCTTCTGCCACGCAGCGCTGTAGTCATCATCCTGAAACCAATCGCAGTCGTACTCTCCTTTCAGGACTCACCAGAGAGCAGAGGAATGGCTGATATGTGAATATTTAAAAAATCTCAATTTTGCATCATGTCCAAGTATCCTTTTGGCTAGTAAAACCAACCGTTGTGCTTCAGAAGCAAGTTCAAATAAGTAATGGAAAGAACGTTTTGGGTACAAGGACAACTTGTGGTCAGTCCACTTGAGGCAGTTAATCTGTCTGGTTCCTTTTAGCAATGCATTAATGGGTGGGACCCCTCATACAATTGGAACATTTTCCAGTCATGTCCTTTATCTATTTTTTTGTCAGCAGACTTGCTAAATCATATCATCTGGTTTTCATATCTCATGGATTCTTTATCCTCGTGCTGGGCCCAGGCAGGTACAGTCATTGACCAGAGCAGTTCTGTGAGTGTGTGGTACGCAACTTCTTTTAAGACATTTGTAAGAAAGGTGTGCTGGACATGTTTAGTCTCCACTTGTCCCAGAGGTAATATTTTACTTGGATGTTTGTCGTTCTACAAAGCTTGGTAGCCATGGTTATGTTTAGATATATTTTTTATGAGTATATGTTGACCACCTTTGTATATTTTGGAGGTGGCCCCAGTGAGACACTGGAGCTAAGCAGCACTTTCCCAAGTAACAGTTAAATCACTCGAAATGCTTTGTTTGCTTGATATGGAATCGAATGCCCTGTTTTTGACCACATGCCTTTTTCCAAGACCAATTAAAAACCTTGTGTCAATAATGTCTGTAGATTTAAAAGTTTTCACTTTTTGTGTGCCTTTCATGTTTTATCTTCTTGCTTTTTTTGTTTAGTGGAACTTTACATAGAATTCTCTTGCTGTCCTCAGATACCTTTCATTGTTTCAAGGCACAGTCTGCGCTCAGCTGTGATTCTGAGTGTATAAACGGATCTGTTTTATTGCCAGCTGCTGTTTTGTTACTGGTACAGTTGGCACTGGCATCTAAACAGTGCTTTCAGTGGCTGGTATGAAAGGAAAAGTATACCTTTTTGTGTTTTCTAGCAACAGCTCAGTCAGCCCAGGAATATTAAAGTGTGATTTTTTTTTCCCTCTTTAAAGTTGCTAAAACAAGCAAACTGCCTATTCAAAGGCATGTGTGACTTCATAGACAATCAGCTTTAGAAAATCACAGCTTTTGACTCCTGTTCCAAAAATACCACTCCCTTTTTCCCTTTCTGCAATGAAGAGTAGCAAAAACTTTGAACTGTAGCATGTGGGAGCTTTGATGTCTTGGATTCACAAATTCCTTTTGTCACATGTTTACTTTTCCAGGCAGAAGGAATGCCAGGCTTTTCAGCATTTTTCAGCCTTGAAAGTGAATTTTCAGTGCCATCCCAGGAGACTGTGTGTAGACTTAGCTCTACACCAAATGTTGCTCAGCAGTTCAATTACAGCAGGTGCTCTAGAGTTTGATCTGGTGACAAACGTGCCCTAATCTAAATACTCGATCTGTGCCAGACCCTGTATTGGCAACAGTGTCGACTCACTGTGCAGAGTTTGCATAGCTAGAGAAAAGTTATGCAGTTCAAGAACCTTGAAAAAAAATCAGGTCCAGTTGACTTCCTTACAATACATGTCTACGATCAACACATTTGTGTGCCACTAGTTAATGGATTATGCTAGGAACAGTACATAGTGGGAGAAAACGGCAAAATTAACCCAAACAGTCGAACATAAATGTCATTGGATACCAGGGCCAGTAATAAACCAGAACTGAAGTTGTGATTTATGAAGTGGGGTTTCCCCAAGAGCACACCCTGACTGATTTGAGGTCACATGAAAGCAGAACAGAACAGATTTTACTTCCAAAATGATATTGAAATGATGTATATGTTAAAAAGCATCACGGAAGACATTTGTCATTGACATTGATCTTGGATGAACTGAGAGACAATTAGGCATGCAGTTATCTTACCTATTCATACTAAATCTGCTAGTTTGCATTGTTTTAAACACAAGTAAATTGCATGTAAAGGAGTTCACAAGCAGGTGCCAAAACATCTGAAGTGGATTTGCACTGAAATGGGCATGATGTGACATCTCTAATCTCTAAATAATGGTTGTTTGCTAATGCTAAATTGGAATTTTTTCTCTCTAAAAAAACAGGTTATTAATCATGACATAGTTCCTAGTGGTAATGTAAATCAGTTCCTTTTCAGTCAGATTTAAAAAGGACTGACTACAGGATTCCTTTGAAAAATGAAAGTCAGTGGACTTGTAACACTACACCTCCTCCAAACTAGTCTGTGGTCAGGCCTCATTGGTGTTTTTCCAACCATTTCTCCTAAGCCCCTTACTTCATAATATATGTCTGTGATTTAAGTGTTCCTTTTCTTTATTACGGCTTTTACCAAGTAAGACATCAGTACTCACAATAGTGGAAAGCTAAAGGGTGACTTATGATAAAAAGCACCTGGACTGTTAAAGAAGTTTAAAGAGGTTCACCCACTGGGGGTCAGGCATTACTAGAAGATTATTGTGCATTATCATGCAGTAGGGATTTCTTTACATTCACAAGATTATCCTGTGTGGCTGTACTAAGGGAACATTGTTTTCTACAGAGTACTTTTGTTTAACTGGATCTAACCAGCTTACCTTGATGATGCATACAAATCTGCAGTTAGATATCTAGGTCTAGATACCAAGATAACAGACAGCTGTGGTACATTACATTTAAACATAGGGTTATAACTATGTTATGCAGAATGATGATAGGTTGTGCTTATACTGTATGATCATTATCCAGTTTACTTTTCTTTGACCTTCTCTTTGTGTAAGCTGACATGAACCTTTTGATTATATGCACTGTAAAATAAAGAGCGTTAGCATTTTTGATGAAATATGCATGCATGCGCTCCTCGGTTATCATTGCAAGAAGCAGTGGAAGTTTTTATAACATTTCTGTGTTTGAAGTTCCCCCAGGCTTGCCAGACTTAAAAGGCTAAAAGCTTACCTGGTTGTGACGCAGTCTCCTTCTCTTTTTGATTACCCGTTGTGTTCCTGTGCCAAGTATGGAATGCACTTGATTTCTGAGCCTGTGAAATGTTTTTGTTTTGATTTGGTGTCTTTTTCACTTTCACACTTTTGACCTCGCCACCTGATATACATGGCGGTCGTCCTCATGGATACCCAAGCGCAGCAAAACCCTTACAGCTCTCTCAGCTGCGTCTTTCCTCTGAGAGTCCTGTCCTGTCCTGTGCAAATGCGTCTGGCAAGCATGGCCAATCTGAAGCACAGTCTTCCCTCTGGTAAACAGTCCTCCTCCTTACATACTGTATAGCGCTGCACCTCCTGGTACAGTAGGCTGTAGGGAATGTGCTCTAGGGAGCAAAATTACCTGAA